ATGGCCTCACACACTTTCTAGGCCCCAGAAGCAGTCATCATGGTACCAAAGCTCAGGCTGCACCCTAAGCCTGTTCACGGCTTCTTCTGTAGAGTGGGGAGTTAGGGGAGGAAAAATGTATCTCTAGCTCACCACCATTCCCCACTGTACCTAGGGATCAGGATACTATTCTGTCTGTTGGGTAGTTGTTCTTTGTTGTATTAGAGGGAAAATACATCACAGTGATATGCTTAACTTCATAGTATCTTAACTTCTTAGCATCTTTAAAACTGGGTGAGCCTGCAGTATCAAAGACAACCTCACTATCACTCTTGTCAGCAAGTCAGGGGACAGGTGGCTGAGGGGAGGCCTGGATTTAACAGCTCATCTTATCTGAAAACAGCAGAGATGGAGAATCATGGCATGTTGCAAGCAGATCTCAGGGAAGCTGTGGGGCCCAGCAGACTGGGCAAACCTCAGCAGCCTGATACAGGGAACAGAGCTATGAAGCTTGGCCACGGGGGTAAGGGGTTCCCCTCTAAGGGTGGTCCTCAAACTTGGTTGTACGTTGTAATCACCTGGGGAATTAAAAAAAAAAAAACACTGGTGCCTAGATTCCTCTTCCTGAAATTCTGATTTAATTGATAATGGGATATGGACTAAACATCAGAATATTTAGAAGCATCCCATATGATTAAAATGTTAAAAAATATGAGAACCACTGCCCCCAGATTTTTTTCCTTCAGGCCAAAAAGCTCCATTTCACTTCCCTTTCTCAAAGATCTCATTTCTTAAAACTTTAAGCACAGGTAGGATTGGCTTCCAACTCCTACTGGATTCCAGAGCAGGCCACCATTAGAGTCTGATCATTATCATAGAATATTTTCTTATAATCAAATTATCTAGTTAATTAGAGGAAAATTACTTTGTTATAGACACTTGAATTAGAAGCATAGCATAGTAGAAAGGACTGGACTTTAGAGGCAGACAGACTTGTGTTCCAATAATAGTTCTGCCGTTGCTTTGTACAATCTTTGAACTTCAGTTTCTGCACCTGTGAAATGGGGATGGTACCTTTCAGAGGTGGCTTGATGATTAAATGAGATAGCACATGTAAAGTGTCTGGTTCAGGGACTGGTGGTAAAAGAATAATTTGTCCCACACCTCCTGGGGACCAAAAGTACTCACTCTTGTGACAGATGGACTGAACATGCTCAGCTTTCAGAGCTCCTCTTCTGGGCCCTCAGGTCTCCAGGAGCACCTCTGGTGCCTGTGACTTCTTCGTTCTGGAAATAGAAGCCTCGCTTCTTCAGGGAATGGTTGTGTGGCTTTGGGTCTTGGGTAACTATTTCTCAGAATTGATGTCTTGGTATCTGAAATAAAAGCTGAAATGAAAGCTTGATTAATTCAAATAGGGGAAAAATGTATTTCAATAATTTTGTGTAATATGTGATTTAATTATGTGTTCATAACCAAGTTAATGTTAAATATTATAAGTAGATGGTCAGTGGTTTTACATACATCTGTAGCCCTAAGAGTTTGTGTATTCCAATTGTCTAAATTAAGACTTTGTTTTGGTATCCACACTGAAAAAGGGGACAACTCTTAAAAAAAAAAGTTCAAGCCTGACGGTGGCTAGGGACCTTTTGAAGGTAAGACACAAATTTCTGGACAAAAGTATTATGAGGGCCTCCCTGGTGGTGCAGGGAGTTGAGCACTGCACTGTGAGGCAGTCTGCAGCCTCTGCAGCACGAGTTCGATCCCCGGCTGGCCAGGGAGAAACCCACATGGCGAGGCAGACCTCTCCTCTCTCGCCCACTGCTCCCCTCAGCAGTGTATTTCAGTCAGTCTCTCTGTTCTGTTCCCCACTCTGTCTCTGGTTGATCCTCTCACCACCACCCCCCTGCCCCCATCTCTGGCCTGTGCCCCAGCTCTTGTATGCATAAATGAATAAATCTTAAAAAAAAAAAAGTATTATGACTAAAAGAGAGCACCTGTCCTCTGTGTCCACTCTGGGCCCCACAGCCTCCCTGGGATGTGCCACAGCTCTCCATCTCTGTTGCCTGCTGCAGCAGCCCCTCTTCAGATGAGATGAGCTGTTAAATCCAGGCCTCCCCTCAGCCACCTGTTCCCTGACTTCCTCACAAGGGAGTATTCAGGTTGCTGTTTGACTGTCAGTCCCTTCCATCTTGCCCAGGGATTATCTCTAAGACTGACTGCAGTGGGTAGAGGAAAAGTGCTCTTCCCTATTCCCCTGCTCTTCCTAGTCCCTTCATTCAAAGGATATAGGAAGTGAGATTCAGAGAAAGAGGGTGACTTACCTAAGGTTACACACATAGTTCCAGTCCTGGTTCTGGAACCCACTTCTCCTAGTTCATAGCCTTTTTGAAGCACCATACCTCTGCTGCAGATTACTCATAATTCCTTTAACATCCTGGGCTGGCTTCCCCATCACTCTGAAAACCCCCAGATGTCTTCTTACTTCTTTCCATGGCTGTGAGTGCAAAAAATGCACAAGAAATATCCCATCCCCAAACTTGTCCAATCTTCAAAAAATCCTCTAGTGCGATTTTCTTTAGCAGCAAATGTGGATTATTTTTGTGTGCAACATATGACTGTATAGTTAAAATGCAGTGTAATATGTATTCTATTAGAAGGACATTCAGGGTGCTGTGGGAACCCAGAAGAGGGAATAATTAAGCCATTCTGAGGGAAATTAACCCTGCTTCTCAAATGTGGAACATTTGAATAGGCTTGAAAATATGGAATGGGAGTTTATTTTAAAAGGAGAACAAAAAAATATTTTGGGGAGAGGGGATGGCATTTTTATAAGCACAGAGTTATGCAAAAGTTCGATGTATTTAGGAGATAGCAGAGTTATTTGGCATGACAAAGGACATATAGGATGTATGATATATGAAGCTAGAGATGAGACCGGAGAGATAAGGCCAACTTGGGGAGGATCTTGAATACCAAGCTGAGAATTTTTGACCTTTATGGCCTTGAAGGAGTAGAGGGTGTGTGATGAGACCTTGTCTGATCTCTTTAGTTATTTATTATGCTAATAAGACCGTGTTATTATGACTAATGTTTGGGCATCTGGTACCAGGGAGTCAAAAGCCTTATGGAAATTATTTTCAATAATTAGAGCAGCATTTCAGTCCTAGGAGTAGATAATGAAGCCAAGTGGAAAGGAGGGACAGTCACCTGATTTTCCTGGATGGCTTTACCTGTAGAGAAGAGAGCATCCTTCTCCACCTCTGGCCATTATTCTTAACAGGCAGGGGTACATCTAGGAGATTCTAGATCTAGCTCTGTCATTAAAGAACATTGCTCACAAAGGCAGAGGGTAGTTTTTTTTCAGAGGAGGTCAGAGAAGAAAGAGTATTGAACTATTATTTTGTATGATTTTGATTTTTCAAGCATATATGAGTTAGCTTTTATGGCATAATAAACTACTCCACACTTAATGGTTAAAACAACAACTTAACTCTAGTGTATGAGTCTACAGGTCTGCAGTTTGGCTTGGGATTCACTCTGGGTGCTGCTCTGGGCTAGCCAGGCTGGGCTAATCTTGGCTATGCTCATGCCTGTGTCTGTGCAGCTGGTGGGTCAGTGGGGCTCACTGGTTTATGGTGGGACACCTGAGACAAAAGAAGCTTCTCTCTCTACATGGTCTCATTTTTCAGCAGGCTAACTTGGAGTTGTTCACATGCCAGCCTTTGAGTTCTGATAGTCAGAGCAGAATCATACAAAGTCACTTGAGGTCTGGGCTCAGGACTTGTTCATTGTCACTTTTGTTGTTCTGTTGGCCAAAGCAGGTGATAGATAAGGCCAACCTGACTTCCACGTGTGAAGAATAGACTCCATCTTTCAATGGTTAGCATTGAAAGGGCATGGATACATGGAAGGGAAGAATGTGTGATCATTTTTCAATGTAACACTTAGATTATCTGACTTTCATCACCAAGGAGGGTTGATAATTGAGGCTGCTTTATCATAACTGGGATTTGAGGAATCTTTTGACTTGAGAATCAATAGTCATGTGCTTTCTGAAGTATTACCTCAGTGAATCCTCACAGCAACACTTACTTTCACTTTGTTTTACATACCAAAAAATGGGTCACAGAGGAGGTAAGTGAGATTGATGTATCCAAGGTCACTGGGTGGTAAGCCTGGTGTTTGACTGCAAATCCAGAGCAACTATCATTGTATCATTTTGATGAGGTGAAGCAGAGGAGACTGTGGTGGTCCTGCTTCATTCACTGTCATTGCCAGCCTCTCTTCCGTTGCTCCTCATCCCTGGGCTCCGGCACCCATCCCAGGCTAGCTGTTCTTGGGGTGGCTTGAAAAGAACTGTAATTTCCAGGTGGCAGTCTCATATATCTCCTCTGGGAATGAGGATAAGAGAAGATATTTTCAAGTGAAACATACGTGTATGTAGTGTACCCAACGTGGACCAGGTAGAGAAGGTTCGATAAAAGATCTTTGAGCCCCAGGAGTAGATTGAGAGATAATGGCTATATAAAGAGAAAAATACCTTCTAGATGAGCAGGCAGAGTCTTGCCTTTCTCTGGATAGAGCCTTCTTGAAGCTTTAGCTTTGAGATCTTAAAACTAATTCTGCTATGTGGTAATCATAATGTCTGGCACTGTGCCACAGGCTAAACTGACCCTCTGGAACTCAGCCAGTAATGGAAGCTGACCCTTCAGGGCTGTAAAATCAAGAATAGGAGCAACAGAAAGGTCCTTAATTATCAGAACCTGAACAGGGTTGGGCCTGTAGTAGCATGGCTTGTGGGGAGGGGAGGTTGATAGGGCCAGGTGAAGACAGAAGGGGATGGTCATGTCCAGAGACCATAGATGGTAAGTGCACACTGTGGCATCACATAGCGCTCATTTGGGCATAAAGTGGTATTGGCACGTACCTTGGTACTATGTGTTGGAATACCTAGTGTCTAGGCCTTGTGTTTCTTGTAATTGGCCATGTTTCTCTGACTCTGCTTTCTTTCCATCCCCCAGCGCTCATCATCTGTCCTGGGTGTAACCGAGTATACCTTACCAGGGATGTAATTGAACATGTTTTTCTAAAGTGTTTGTCTACTGCTCAATCCAAGATGGCCAGGGTAAGTCAGGACAAATAAAGAAACAGCTGATCCTTTTAAGAAATTGATGCCCCTGCCCCTGTCCATAAATCTTTCTATCCACCCATCACTCCCCCTGACTTGTTACTCCTCTGTCAGTTTGTATATCTATCCACCCACCCATCCACCCACCCTCCCACCCATTCATTTTTCTATCAAGAAGAGAATCAAAGTGTTTGAATTGGGGAAAACAAAATGTGGTGCTTTTCCCCTCTTTACAGCTCTTACTTAAAAAAGGTAAGTACTGAGCTTTTATTTCCTTTTTTTTGTCCTACTGAGCTGTAACTCATACACCAGGTAGAATAAACCAGGTTCATCGATCTTGCCTATATTTAACAACTATTACTTTTTTCCTGGTTTTTTGAACTTTCCCATCACTTACTGTTACCCCTTCGGTTCCTCTCCTGACAAAATTATTCATACTGTTATTTCATTTGCAATTTCTTTACCTGTATTTAATTTTTATTAAATGTCTGACATGTGCCAGAGTCTATGTTGGTTGCTATGGAGATAGACACCCATCTCCTTTACCCTCAAGGAATTCATAGTTTAATTAGTAAAACTTGTTTTTCTCATCATTTTTTTTCCCACCATGGGTTTATCAGAAGACAGTCTGAGGACAAAGCCATCAAAATCCACATCACTTTGGTGGGTTATATTATTCGGACATAGATAGGCTAATGTTTTCTGTATCTCCTCCAGATGTTTCAGTATCAGTCCTGCAAGGTATTTGCTATTCAAATGAATGAACATTTTGAACTGGGAGAGGACTAGGAACCCTTAGACCCTTAAGCCCCAGTAGTAGAAACAACTCTGAGAGTTGACCTGTGCTTGCTCTTTCCAGGCTGCATGTCATCACTTTCTGTGAACTCCTGAAGCCGCAGCTCCCTCCTCTCTATAGGCACATTCAACATTCTGCTCTTGCTTGTGCTTTCCCATTTTCCTCCTTTGTCTGCCTGATGAACTTCTACTTGTCATTCACCATCCAACTCAAATGCCCTGGAAGGACCTGGAAACCTCCTGCTCCTTCCTTGGCACTTAGTATACTTCCTTTGTCACAGCATTATCCATTGACTGTCTGCCTCCTCCAGTTCTTCCAAGTATATTCTTCCATGCATATCTTTGCCTTATTCATGTGAGTATCCTCAGCTTTATCAGTGGACTTATCCGAATAACCCCTGAGGCCTTTTAGTCATAAAGAGTGCTTCCCTTCCAAACCTCCCCCCACCCCGTCACTCCTAGGCAGCTCTCCAGAATTGACTCCAGAATAGTAGAGGGACAGCCCTACAGGACTCATGTCCTATAGTGTCTCCTGCTCATTCAGACAGACCCAGATGAGGATATTGTCAATAACTCCAGAACTCTCTGCTTCTAGAACTGCTCTGAGTGCAAGGAGAAGAGGGCAGCACACATCCTCTGTACCTACTGCAACCGCTGGTTGTGCAGTTCCTGCACAGAGGAGCACCGGCATGGCCCTGCCCCCGGGGGCCGCTCTTTCCCCGGACCCAGAAGGGATCTCCAGGTATCACTGCCCCCTCTCTACAGCAGCTCACATGCCTTTAAGGAGTGCAGAATCCTAAAATCATTGGAGAATAGTTTTCTGAACTTTTTTTCCTGCTGGGGGTGGTCTCAGACCCTGTGCTAGAGTCACAGTCACAGTTAAGTTCACTCTAGGCTCTCCCCATTGGGGGTGGTAGTGGAAGAGTGTATGTGAGATGGTACATGGAGGAAGAGTTTTTAATTACCATGGAATCTAGCTGAGTTCCCTACCTTTCACATATATTTAAAGTTGTGATGCTTTGCTCCTATTTACTTGGTTACCTGAAAATCCTGGATTAGGGCATGCATATTTGTCATCCATTGTCACCAGTTTTAAATGGCAGTCTTCTTGAAAATCTTTTCCCAAAGCCCTTGAACTGGGAGCCCTTTTACCTTTGTTATGGCCATAGGAATGAGAGGGCATGATCTGTGTGATTTAGTGTGGAGCCTGGCAAGGCTGGGTAGCTGGTTTCAGTCCCATCATAACAGAGTCCTGATTAATGTAGAGGTGTAGATTGAATTTTAGAGGATTTACTATTCTACAGGAGATCCATATGCAACAGTAGGAAGTGCCTTTGTCAGCCTCTGGCAGGTGATGGGATGCCTGGGGCTTGATGGTCCAATATTCCTGGGCATCTGGGCAGATCTATCCAGGCTAAGCCTGTGATCCTCCCTGTGCTCCTGGAACCTCAGTGGCTCAGAGAGGCCACTCCCATTTTGCCCTACCTTTCCTCTAAGCTCTGTTACCTCCCCTGTGTTCATTGAAAGCTCAGGGATGCTCAACAAAGCTTAACTGAGAGGTCTTCCTGAGCAAGAGCAGCCACTTCTTCATCTTCTCTAGCAGGAGTGAATGGTGGCTCTGGGGACTTCGCCTTGTACTGTCCTCTACACACACAGGAAGTGCTCAAGCTGTTCTGTGAGACCTGTGATGTGCTCACCTGCCATAGCTGCCTCATGGTGGAACACAAAGAACACAGGTAGGGTGACACTCAGGAGGGCCTTGGGAGGGCTCTGGACTCCCTACCCATGAGAGCTCTGGCCTCCCAGTAGATCCAAATCATCTGCTTGCCAAAGCCAACCTGCAGCTTCTGGGCTGAAGTTTTTCTCTACTCCTGTTGTGAAGCTTTTCTAGAGAAGTCCTGATAGGCCAAGAGCCTGTGGTACCTTTGACTTTCCTTCTCTACAGTCCCAGTCTACATGGGCCTGAAGTGCTTAGAAAGAGACTCAGTCCTTCTCAGCCTTTTCTCTGTCACTCCCTCTAGGTGCAGACATCTTGAAGAAGTTTTGCAAAACCAGAGGATGCTTCTGGAAAGTGTGACTACCCAGGTGGCACATAAAAAATCCAGTCTGCAGACATCTGCAAAGCAAATTGAGGACAGGTAGCACAGGCTAGCCCCTTGCCAGCGCTGGAAATGCTTTGCTCCCTTCCAGCCTGGCCCTTCTAGGCCTGTAGGGAAGGGTTCACTAGCCGCTGTCCCATCTTCTTCCAGGATCTTTGAAGTGAAGCATCAGCACAGAAAGGTGGAAAATCAGATCAAAATGGCCAAGATGGTTCTGATGAATGAGCTGAACAAACAGGCGAATGGACTCATAGAGGAGTTGGAGGTATGCTTGGGCAAGTGGACCAGATGAATGGGTTTACTGCTCTCCTTGGTCAGAAACCAGGCACCTACTACACTAGCCCTATTGTTCAGAGCTGCCTGAACCGGAATTCAGATGTGCAGTTTCCATAACTCTCTGTTGCTCCCTACATCTCAAATATCCAGTCTAAATTTGGGAGGGTGGCTAATTAAGGGCTGGAAAATCGGTTAAAAACCCCCATCAATGTTCTGACTCTAAGGCAGCTGCCTTCCTGGACTACACAGTCTTATAGCCTTGGTAGAGATTCTTGAGACAGCTTTCATCCAGTTATTTCAAAGAGATGTAGACATTCATTCATCATCCATTCCTACAGAAATCTACCTCACTTTCTGTCCCTCCCTTCTCTGTCTGTCAGCAGCCTATGGTAGCAGTCCTGCTGTCCTCTCAAGGTTACAGTCTCATTTCATTCCATCAGTGTTCACTTTGATACAGACCAGGTCACTATCCTTGCCAAGCAGATGGGTTAAAGTCCACAGATAGGACCTTGGACTCTACCTTGTCTCCCTACCCAGGGCATTACAAATGAGAGAAAGCGGAAACTGGAGCAGCAGTTACAGAGTATCATGGTTCTCAATCGTCAGTTTGAGCATGTGCAGAATTTCATCAACTGGCTGTGTGCAGCAAAACTAGCATCCCTTTCCTTTTCAGCAAAGAGCTGGTAAGAACAACTCCTAATCCTCAATCACTGCTTTTGCATTAGTAAGTGGATACCATCTTTTAGCAAGTCCCACAGTGCAAAGGACCCAGGTGCTAAAATTGCCCTGCTTCCTCCAGGCAACTCAGCTGGGAAATTTTGTAGCTTTTTGTCATAAGTAATGGATTCAGACATGATCCTGGATACTAGCTGTGTGCTCATCATCACATAGAAAGCTTCTGGGTTTAAGTGGGGGACTAAGGAAAAGCTGGAGTTGGGGATGATGTTGAGGATGCTGATGCCCTGGAGAAGGGGCAAGGATTTTGAAAGAAGTTGGTGGAGTTTTTTGGATAGGTTCAATCTAAGGTGACTGCAGGGCATCTACTTGTTTAATTTTTTTTTTCTTTTATTGAGGTAACATTGGTTTACAACACTGTATACACATGGATTCACACCTCCTCAGGTGTGTGTCACCACCAAGGCACACAAAGTCCACTGGGAGATATCCAAAATCTGTTTTGATAGGTGGCTCTGCAATTCAGAAAAAAAGTCCAGGGTTGGAGATAGAGGTGTGGTAGTCACTGGGATATCAGTGGTATCGCCTTAGAAGAGTGTATGAAGGAAGAACAAGCCTGGAACCCAGGGAAATACTGCCATTTTCAGTATAGAAAGAGGAAGAGGATGAGTGAAGGAGAGTGAGAACCAAAAGCTAGAAGTCAGAAATAGGACCATGTGTTGCACGGAAGCTAACAAAGAGTTTGAGATTCCAAGTGGCCAGTCTTAGCATTGCTGCATAAGTAAAAGAATGTGAGTGGTGGAGGGAGGTCTTAAGATCTGGGAAGCAGGACATCACTGGTGATATTTTGAAAGAAATTCCAGTAAAGTAGAAGGTTCGAAAGTTAGAATGGGGACACCGAGGCTGGGAGGTGAGGGAATAGAGACAGACATGAAGAGAAATAAGTTAATTTGAGAAGGAGACAGAGCTGGAGTGACACTGATTTTTAAAAATTTGGAAAACACTAGCACATGCTTATTTGAGAGAAGAGGTTGGAGATGGAAGAAATGGGTGGAGGAGTGAGAATACTGAGAAGTCAGGAAGAGTGAGATCTAGAGTAAACCAGTTCATCTTAAATGTAAGAGGCACTCCCTTTCTCTGAGATGGGAGAAGAGGGAAGTTATTATTATAATGTAGTTAAGTTCAGAGGTAGGAGGGATGCAAATTTCTGAGAGTTTGCCCTTTATGGTCTCTTTTTGGCCTATGTGAAGTAGGAGCTGATAGTAAGAGGGTTAGACTTTGGGTAAGTGGCACTGAGGGAGAAGTGAAGCTTTTATTCATAGTCATTGAATAGTGAAAGAGGAAAGTCAAAAGAAGTGACAAGAAAGGACTGGGGGTGCCACTGAATTTAATGATCACTGAAGTGACCCCAGATAATGTGACTTTGGGAGGACAACTGTCCTGGGCTGGATTGACCTAAGGTCTGGCATTGGTGATTGTAAGGGTCAGGAATGGACACAGTGCAGGTTTTCTGATCCCTTGCAGTCCGGGTAAAGGAGGAGTCAGAGTCCTCAGTGGTTTTGCAGGCTTTTATTGTGATTACCAGGTACATGGCAGGCAGGGGTGTTGGGGGCTGGGAGGCTGGCAGGCCTCCCAGCCCCCAGCAAGTCTTCATTCTATCTGGGCTCACTGGCGTTCTCTGCTTCTGCTTCTTTGCTTCTCTCTTGTGCTTCTGCTGCTGCTGGCGTCCCTGTGACGCCGCCCTTAAAAGCAGTCTTAGCCCAGGTGAATCCCATCTACCTATGCCCACACCCTATTCCAGGTGCCCACCATCAGGCATGCATTCAGGACCGCAAGGATCCATCATTTATCCTGATGGCGGGAGGGCAGAAAAGCCTGGCATTTTTCCTTACCCTACAGTGATGGAAAGGGAATTAGGAACTAGTGATATTGTTACTAAAAATGATGGGAACTGGGACAACCCAATGGACTGATGGAGCAGGATTTGGACAGTTCAGCACAGAACCCACTCAGAAAGAGCAAGAGCTAGTTCTGATCAGGGGGTAGGTCATTGTAGTTTAAAGTCTCATAGGTAGAACAGTTCCAGATGATTAAAAGGGTCTGCATGTGGTGACTGAACTGAGAAAAGAGGTGGAGGTGATTGACCTGACAGAGATCAAGGAAGTAAGAGACCAATGTGTTGTTTGGGACATTAGTAAACTAAATGATGGCAGAGTAAATTGGAAACTTGCCGAAGTCCTAGCTAGGTAAATGGGAAAATTGGTGATAGGAAATAGATGAAAGGAATGAGAGAAGGAGAAGACAGTTGGTTATGATGGAAGAGTTTTTACATGTGGGTGGAAGTCATCAATGAGAAGCTCAGAGAATGCCTGCCCCATTAGGCTCATAAATCAAAGCCATGGTAGAATGAATGGAGTACTCTTGAGTGGGTTGCCAGTCAAATAATATCCTAAGGGACAATTACAAATCATTTGACACCTGCAAGAGAAAAGGGTTCTAAAACCTCAATAAAAGGAAGGGGGATCTGCAGTGGGACAATCATTAAGGGGAAATGCAGATAGAAAGGCACAAGGAAATGAGAATATGAGGGAAGATCAGAGCCTGAAGAGCCATGGCTGTGACCCCTCCAACCTGTCCAAAGAGTGAGGGAGAGAGCATTGTCATTCGGGTGCAAGGTTTGCCCCTCCCCCAAGTGATCTCTGGTCTTGTCAGATTGTGTTTCAGATGCAGCGATTGCTGGAGACAAATTGTAATACAGATCCTGGCTCCCCTTGGAGTATCAGGTTCACGTGGGAGCCTAACTTCTGGACCAAGCAGCTGGCTTCTCTTGGTGAGTCAGGGCCTACCTACCCTGTGGGCTTTTACCTAGTTGCAAAGAACAAATACAGAGCATCTGCCTTAATTAATGATTAGGTCAGCATATGCCAAAGAGAATGCACTCCCTGAGACTGCCAGTGATCATCAAGTCATTCAGCAAACTCTGTGTGTGTGTGTGTGTGTGTGTGAGAGAGAGAGAGAGAAAGATCAGGGAGAGGAAAGTGGACAAGCTTAAATAGCAGTGGCAATACAAGGACTGCTGGAGAAGAGACAAGATAGCAGCCCTGTTCTCCAGGGTGCTATGTCTGAGATCATGCAAGGATATACCTGTGTGGGCACCAGGGACACAAACAGGTATCTCAGCAATAGGTAGGGAGAGAGAGGAGGGAGGAGAATGTGACACACTGTTGTGCCAGCAAGGCACTGGGCAAATTCTCTATCAATTCGGGCAGATGGATAAAGAGAATCCCTGAGCCCTCAGTGCCTTTTTCAGGGTTTAATGCTCTTTCTACGCCAATTGTTGTGGGGCAAACCCACAGATTGGCAAGGCAGAGAGGCCAGGGCGCTGAGAGGCTGGTAGGCCTCCCAGCTCTCAGCAAATCTGTATACTTTTCTCTTTGGGCTCTCTCTGGTGTTCTCTCTTGGTCTCTTCCTCTTGTAGCTGTTCCACCATAGCCATACCTGTTTCTGAATGATGCCACCCTTATTGCCTCAGGCTCCATGCCCAGGTGTGCTTACTCATGCATGTGCACACCATACTCCAGGTGTTCACAATGAAGCACCCGTGCCCTGTGCCTACTCTCCCAAGTGCCTCCTGCATTTAGGGCCACAGGTTATAGCCACAAAGGCCAGTGGCGTTAAACAAACCTGACCATCTCATTTACCCTACACACACACACACCTTTGAAGGTGAGATGTAAGCAGATAATTCATGACCTTGTGCATTTTTCTTCCCTGTTGAGATAATTTGCTGGCATTCAGTCTTTACGCAGAATGTAGGTGACTTGAAGTTGTGCCTGTGTTGACAATCTAATGATAGGTTTGTTAAATTAATGGCCAGCTGCTGCCTTTCACTTCATCTCAATGGAAGTTTTTTGAATTTGAAAGAGTAGTGGATGACATCTAGGCTTTTTTTCCTTTTCTCTCACCTTTGACTTAATTTAGCAGGCCTTGGGTGGGTACCTTTCTGGGTCAGTCCCCGCACTGTGCTCTTAAGGGACCAAAGGTAAATAAAACATACCTATCCCCTTTAAGCAGCTCACTCTTTCCCTAAGGAAGCTTCATCAAAAACAATGAGCTGCAGGAGCTGTTAACCTAGCAACAGTGATCATGCACTGAGGGTGGTGATCATGCAGGAGGGTCCAGAGGCCTTCTAGGGTGGTGCTGTTGCCTAGCGCTGTCCTGGTATTACCCACTCTCTTCCGTCCTACTTGCCCAACACACAGTTCCCCAGATCTTTGTTTGGAGACTTGCTCATTTGCCCCTGATGACTGTCCCTCCTTTGCTGCTTTCCAGCACACTCCCTCCTCCTCCCCAATGTTGATTTTTTGGGTCCAAGTCTCTTTTGAACTATTCTGTTGAAAGAGTGGGTACTCTTGGAGGGAGTCCATGATTTCTCTAATGGATCAAGAGATCTGGGAAAAACTGGTTGATTTCTCAGATGCTCAGGCTCCCCAAACAGGTGCATACAGATCATTTCTAGCACCATTCTAGACTGAACCTTGTAGATCATGAGTTGAATTTCTTAATCACTGTGCCTGGGACAGATTTGTTGAATAATGGTCCCAGCAACAAGAGATAGGAAGGTGGGGCACAACTGTAGATTCCCTGTGGAAACACTCTCTATTCTGAATTTCCAGGCTGCATAACTACTGAAGGTGGACAACAGTCCCGGGCAGATACACCTGCTTATGGAAGCTTACAGGGACCGTCATCCTTTTATCAAAGCCACCAGTCCCCAGTGGCTCAGCAGGAGACTCTTACCCACCCCTCACATAAGTTCCAGCCTTCAGCACTGTGTTCCTCTTCTGTGTGTTGCTCCCACTGTTCCCCAGTCTCACCCTCCCTCAAAGGCCAGGTCCCCACGCCAGGCATGCACCCAGCCCACAGCTTTAGGCAGCCCTCTGAGATTGTGCCCCAACAGCTGGGGCCACTGCAATGCTCTGCCCTGCTGCCTAGGGAGAAAGAGCTGGCCTGCAATCCTCATCCACCAAAGCTGCTGCAGCCGTGGCTGGAAACCCAGCCCCCTGTGGAGCCGGAGAGCACATCCCAAAGGCTGGGGCAGCCACTGACTTCCCAGCCGGTATGCATCGTCCCCCCACAGGATGTTCAACAAGGAACCCATGCCCAGCCCACCTTACAGACACCCTCAATCCAAGTCCAGTTTGGCCACCACCAGAAGCTGAAACTCGGCCACTTTCAGCAGCACCCACAGCAGCAGCTGCCACCTCCACCACCTCCACCCCCTCCACCCCAGCAGCAGCCACCACCACCTCTACCTCCATCCCAACATCTGGCTTCTGGTCAGCATGAGAGCCCTCCCGGGCCTGCCTGTTCCCAGAATGTGGACATAATGCACCACAAGTTTGAACTGGAGGAAATGCAGAAGGACCTAGAGCTTCTCCTCCAGGCTCAACAGCCCAGCCTACAACTGAGTCAGACCAAATCTCCTCAGCATCTTCAGCAAACCATCGTGGGGCAGATCAACTACATTGTAAGGCAGCCAGCACCTGTCCAGTCCCAGAGCCAGGAGGACACCGTGCAGGTGAGCCTCAGGGTGGCTTGGGGCATGCATCCTGTCCTAGGGTTGCTCAGGAAACAAACCTCCCCAGTCACAGGGAGGCACAGGAAAGTCTCTTTACCGCAGGGTGACCTTGAGCTCAGCCCTTATATTTCAAGAATTCCCTGTGTGCCACTAATCATCTCAGGAAAGCTTTAGAAAACATAGTACCTGCTCTCAACATAGATCTGAGCTTAATCATCTCCAGTGTCCTGGCTTAGTCCTTTCCTCCTGGGTGACAACGGCCCTTATGCATGAATGGAACCTTCTGAGCTGTGCTGTGCTCCTACAGATGCCAAGTCAGAAGGGGGTCTGTCTTTTATCTTTGTAACCTCTCTCCTTCCCCTGATGAACTTAAGAATCCCAGGCAACCTCCCTGGTGGTGCAAGAGGTTAAGCACCGCACTATGAAGCAATCCGCAGCCTCTACAGCATGAGTTCCATCCCTGCCCAGCCAGGGAGCAACCCACATGGCGAAGCAGACCTCTCCTGACTCACCCGCTGCTCCCCTCAGCAGTGTATTTCAGTCAGTCTGCCTGTTCTGTTCCCTGCTCTGTCTCTGGTGAATCCTCTCACCCCTGCACCTCTGGTCTGTACCCCAGCTCTTGTATGCATAAATAAATAAATCTTTAAAAAAAAAAAAGAATCCCAGGCAGGGGCATGTGTGTGGTGGGGGAAATTTAAGAAGGGGAGCACTAAATGCTAGTGATCAGGAGGTTTATAATACCATACAGATGCAGGCTTAAAATTTATTTGAAACCTACTAAACTAGGAATGTTTTATATACATTGTATCACTTCCTCTATGTACAGAATTGTTAGGTAGGCATCACCACCCATATTTTATAGGTGAAGGGTCAGAGAGGGCAAGCAGTTTGCCTAGAGATCATAAATCATGGAACGGTAGAGTCAAGTCTTGGATCAGATCTGCTGACTCTAATGCCACAGAAGAGGTCTTGTTCCATCCCTGGGGAATAATAAATGCTGCTCCTCTTTTCTCAGTGAAAAACCAATAGAAGAGGTGCGCTTTGTACCTCTAGGGCCTTTGTTTCATTCCACACTTTCGTTCTTAATTCTTATTTTTCTTTTTTAATCAGAGCTGCTTGTTCTAGCCCCTTCCCCTTCCCACAGTGGTGTCTCCTTTAAATCTGTAATCACATTTTTATTTTCAAAACTGCTGTATGGACTTTTACTTCATTACAAAATGGAAGGCCTCACATTAATGCTTTAGCACTGATCAGATGATTCTTCAGATGTCTTCCTTTGAGACTCAGTTCCTTTGAGGGCTATGGAATAATCCCCATGTTGACAGAGAGGGTCTAGGGTTCATGGAGATCACACACTGCATGTAAGTGAAAACTGTTATGTTGCTAAACTGAAAATGACACAACTCAGAATTCTCAGTTTGGTTTCTGTTCTAACACTGTCATATTAACATGTATTTGTAGGAAGAGTTTAACATAAGATTTACCTTTCTTACTGAAAACTTTTTAAGCAGTTCCCCATGTGAGGGTGGTGATAATGGGCAGTACAGGGGGGCATTAGCTCTTACTACTGCTGCTGCTACTCTCTGCGGTGAACTCCACCCAAATTCTTATTTTTTTCTCCAGGTTACAGATGAACCTCCAGCACCTGAAGGCCCAAAGCCAGCTCTCCCTCTTGATAAGAATACCGCTGCTACCTTACCTCAGGCCTCTGGGGAAGAAACCCCTCACAGTGTCCCCCCACTGGACAGCACCATCCAGCACTCCTCTCCAAATGTGGTGAGAAAGGTATTAACGGAACCTGCTTTCCCTGACCACACAGGACCCGCTTCCAGCCAAGACCCCAGGGACCTGGATGAGGATGACTGGGCGGGGGGAGGAGTGTCCCTGTTCCATCCCTGGATGTTACATAGCCCTGATTCGTGCCTTCTGTCCTAATGAGTCAGCAATATAGGCGTCCTCCACTCCCACTTCCACTCCCACATACTCACTTAAAATGTAACTAACTGGCCTTCATTTTGGTAGAAGGAGAGAGGGAGAGAAAAGTCCGTTTATTGAGCACTTACTCTGTGCCTGATCCTGTGCATGGTACTTTACAAGCATTATCTACTTTAACCCTCTCAACACATCTGTGAGGTGGTCATCCCTACTTCATAGCTAAGGAAATTGACCTCCAGGCCTCTGTGACTAGTAGATAGATGGACTGAGGTTTATTTGAAATGAAGTCTGTCAAAGTCTAAGCCTGAACTTTTTCTTCTATGCTATGAAAATGGGGGAAATAATTTATGTGCCCCCCCCTCCCACCCAAAGTTAGTTGACCTTAGAATTTGCATCAGTGGAATTTGTTGGGTGAGTGGTCACAGGGATGTCCTGCAGAGGTAGCTGAGCATCTAGGGATCTTTTGAAGAGAAACTATTGGAGGCCTTCCTGTCCACCCATTTACCTGCTTGCTGAAAGTGTGGACTTACTCTGGCAATAACCTAGAGACCCACAACTCATCAACTGCCCCACCCCTGTCATCCTCCTAACGGGAACCTCAGTACTGTGCCAGCCCTCCCTGTGTCCCTCAGCCTTGTTCTACTTTGTGTATTGCCTTTTCTGGCCTGGTGGCCTCAGTCTTCTTGGTGCATCCACTCACCCCTGTACTCTAAATCCTTCTGGGTATTCTGTATCCTCCTAGCCTGAAGCATGCCTCTGGCCCTAAAAACACTGCTTCTTTAATTGTTCTGTGTTCCTTCCCCTGACCACATTTCCCTCCACAGCACCTTTGCCGTATATGTCTTGGATCAGTCTTTCTCATCTATAATTGAGAGTTTAGAAGAATAATGGATGTCAAAAAATTAATGTTACCTTGGAAATTTCTGGTGACTCCTGAAGTCTGGGCAGGCCTTTGATATTAGTGGCTTTTTGTCTGTGCCCAGTCTGTCCTACTCTGATGAAAATGGTTTGGTCTAGAGGCCAGAGGTGCTGTGAAGAGGCCTTTTGTGGAGCTTAGGGGTTTAACATCTTATAGTTGAACTAGTCATCCATCCATCCATCCATCCATCCATCCATCCATCCATCCATCCAACCACCCATCCACCTAGCCATCCAGCCATGCAGCCATCAATGTTCAAAATATATATATTAATTTCCTAGTATGTGCCAAATTCTGCCAGGTGCCAGACCCACATTGGTGAATAAGGTATTCTCACATTGCAGCTATAGTCTAGTGGGAGAGGTAGTCATTTAAACAAACAATAACAATAAAGTATAATAAAGTGCCACATGATGGTCATTGGGGTAGTTAGATGCACCTTACCTGGAAGAAAACTTCCTAGAGGACAGGATTTTCAGCTGAATTTTGAAGGAGGAGCAGTTAGGCTAGTTGGGGAAGAGGCTATTATGAATAGTCAGAGGAAATGGCAAGGAGGAAGATCCAGAAGTGAGAGGAAAGCCTGGGACACTGAGAAAGTATTAGATAATTTGATTTTGTACTTAAGATGTACAGGGGAGTAAGAGTTATTGAAACCAGAGAGGCTGGACGGCCTTTTAAATTATGCTGTGGAGTTAGGATTGAGTCTTGGTAGTTATGAGGAGTAAATGAAGGAATTCTTGTTAGAAGGGACATGGTTTGAGTTAGATTTTAGAAAGGTGACTTTAACTACAGTAAGGGAGACGAAAATAATACAAAGGAATAATAGGAACAGATGAATGGAATTAATAGTGGGAATAAAGAAGAAGCAAGAACTTCGATGATCAAATAATGTAGCTTTTGGACTCAGATAATGGGGTGGGAAGTAAGGAGCTTGACACAGGCTCACTGTCTTGTCATTCATGAGAGCATGGGAAGAAGAGCTTATTTGTAGGGGAGGAAAAAGTTAGGTTTTGAACTGTTAATATTCTCCTGTGAAAGCTACATTAGATGACCAGAGGGCAGCTAGCTCTATATGTTGGTTGTTCAGAAGGAAGCTCTGGAATTGCCAGTGCCCAAGTGGGAGCAGAAACTGTGCAGAAAATCCTGCAGTATGTTTCGAGTCTCAGCTCTGCTTCCTTACACAGAGCAGAGGAAAGTAGGCAAGCTGCTTGTAAATATGTGGAGTCTGTCTGTGGGGGCCCACAAGGCTCTCTGAGCAGCAAGGGGATGCTGTCTTCCTGTGTGGCTGTAGGTGAGCAGTGGGACTAGTAAAAGTCCTGGCAACTATAACTGCACATTTTGAGCTGTCCCTGGCTCTTACTAACCTGGTTTATGCAGGGGTTTGGCTGGTGCTGCCTTGATATTTTTCAGATGTTTTATAGGTTTCTTCATGACTTGGACTCCCAGAAAAAGGAGTCCCAAGGTTGCCATTGTGGCCCAAAGGAAACTGCATCTACTTGACTGAAGAGATACTAGTTATACACAAAGATACTGAAATAAGAGTACTATCAAAAAGTACTTTCTTTTTGATAGAATTTGTTGTCTTGAAGCTGTGATTGGGCAGGGTGTATGGCCAAAGGATACCAGACAACATTTTGAGCATCTTGTCATTGAATGATAATACTTTGTATAGCATTTTCTGCTTTTTTCCCATTGTTTTTTACATGGATTATTCTATTTTATCTCTTTGTTTATCCTAGCAATACTTTGAGGAAGCTACTTTCTTATTCCCCTTTGAAAGATGTGGAAACTGAGACACAGAAAGGTTAAGTGACCCACCTGAGTGAGTTATACAGCCGACTACTGGCAATGTTAGAACCGGAGCACAGGCTCCTAACTCAACCCTGTATTCAATGACTAGGTTAAATTGCCACTTTGTGCACTGCAATGGGAGATGCAGGACTCTATTTGGCCTCTTACCTGCTGGATTTCCTGTGTTTAAATCTTTGAAGTGAGCTGAGGTCTTGCTGGGGAGAGGTCTTAGAACTTAGCCTAGCTTGATCTTGGTTACCTTCATCTGGTAAAGGTGTCTTAGCCTCCAACCCCCTTCTCAGCCTATACTGTCCTTTGAGTGCCAGGAAGGTCAGAAGTCTACCTGAAGTCTACAGACCAAGGAACCTGTGGCACCAGGCACCTCTCTGTGTTCCACAGGGACTTATTCATGCTCTGAGCTGCTCACAGACTTTATATAGCCACAAAGAGGACTTTTGTCACAGCAGAGCAGCTGTGCACAGGACCTGGGAGTTGATACTAAATGCAGAGATGATTAAAACAGATTGTGCTGAAAATAGATGTAAACCTCTAGAATGGGTTTTATTGTGGCATGAGCTCTGAATCTCTGGAGCAATTCATCCCACCACCTTCCCTGCATCCAGCAGGATGTTTTTGTATGAATTTTGACATTTGCCTGGCTCTAGCTATTGCTTAAGCTTCCTAATCTGGATTCAGTCACTCTGAAGAAAGACGGTGGCTACACCTCTATAACAGAGAGCCCCTTTAAATCCTAAGTGAAACTGGAAGACAGTTTGATGGCTTTGTTTTATACCTCTGAACTAGACAACTGCTGAAAACCAGATGCACTCCTTCCCTCAAAGCTCTCATGGAATCAAGGCTATAGGCATCACAGAGACCCTTATCTGATTCTCAATTAACCTGAAAAAATGCACCTGTCTTCCACTTGTAATGTGGCCCCAGATCTTCAATAGAAGTCTTTGAGGCCACCAGTAGGCTGCTCATGGCTTGAGAAGAACTGGAATGTGTTTCAGTATAACCTAATGCACAGTGGGCATTCCTGTGGTCCAGATTATTAAGAGCAAAACAGAAGAATAAAGGGAAATGACTCAGATGAATATCATTTATGCCATTATCAAGACATTTTGATGCCAGAGCTCTTAGGTTGATTCTTACAACACAGATTTATATTAACCTGTGGAGGAAGAAACTAAATTCCAGAGATAGGAAGTGACTTGCTTCAACTCTACACCTTGGCATAAATGAGGAAACACTAGGCATCTCGCTTTCATAGTCTCCAAATCCACTGCTATGGATCAGCACATGGATTCTAACATGGAAGCAATCTCTTCCTCATAGCCTGGCCTGACAGTAGCTTTTGCTTGGAATGGATCCAGGGCCTGGTGACACTTTCTTAGGGCACAGTCTGTATCTTGGTCAGCACATGCAGAACGGTACAGAGAGCCAGGAATTCCTTCTCAGGAATCAAGTCAAACACTCCCAGTTCTGACTTCTTGAATTCACACCCTTTAGAAAGCCTGTCTCCTTAGTTTTAGCTTGATTTCATTAACATACCAGCACCAAGATCTTTGTTCAGGTCTCCTGGTCCAAGAGAAAATGGGTCCTTGCTCCTAGGCTTAACTGCTTACTCTGGTCTGGCCAAAATGCCCTTGGCCTAAATCTCCCAAGTCTTTAAGTCCTGAGTCTTGAGGGTTCCACATATTTGACTTTCATTTTAGACTTATAGGAATCCACTTCTTTCCTTCTACCTTAGACTCTGGGGATCTGCCTTTTGTTTTTTCTATCTTCTCTGGATCATCAAGCTATGGAACATTCATCAGTCCTCTCTTTACCATCAATAGTATTTCCCCATTTGACTCTGGTGAGTTAGCATATATCAGCATCATTGTATCTACAGGAGTAGCATTAATTTCTAAAAGTTTTTCACTGAGTTGAAGAAGCACTCATTTCTTAATAAGAGTAATAACTTCACTATTAAAAATCAACTTGTGAAATCACTTGCTAGTAAATTTAGTTCCTTCCTCAACGATCTGGTTCAATTGTTTCAAGATCTACTACTATTAAGCCAGTCTACCTAATCTGAAGTTGAAGCACTCAAATATTCCAAGATTTAATTCACAAGTCTGTTTATATTTATCCT